AACAAACCGCCCGTAAGTCCACAGGAGGCAAAGCCCCCCGCAAACAGTTGGCCACCAAAGCCGCCCGCAAGTCGGCGCCCGCCACCGGAGGCGTGAAGAAACCCCATCGTTATAGGCCCGGAACCGTCGCCCTCCGAGAGATCCGTCGTTACCAGAAGTCCACTGAACTGCTGATCCGAAAGCTTCCGTTCCAGCGATTGGTTCGTGAGATCGCTCAGGACTTCAAGACTGACCTCCGATTCCAGTCATCCGCTGTTATGGCTCTTCAGGAGGTATGCAATTGACGCACTCTTTCATTGAATGTATGCTTTCACTCATTGTCTCTGTGTTTGCATTGATAGGCATCTGAGGCTTATTTGGTCGGACTCTTCGAGGACACCAATCTGTGCGCCATTCACGCCAAGCGAGTGACTATTATGCCCAAAGACATCCAACTGGCCCGTCGTATCCGTGGCGAGAGAGCTTAAGACACCACTCATACAAACAAACGGCCCTTTTTAGGGCCAATACATACCTGTCCATAAGAACATGATTATCATTATTGCCTTTTTATATCCATTCATGTGTTTCAGCATTTAATTTATTACTTTTAACCGAATTTTATAATAAACTGATTCTTCAATAAACTTATTTTGTGTGATATTTATTTGCTTTTCAATTCATTTGAGACTTGTGTCCATTTAGTCATTCAATTGATTATGTATTTATGGCTATAGTTGACATGAGTTTCTGATTGTAGTTTACTATAGAAGTTAGTATTGAAGTGTATTTAGAGGACATATCCGTTAAACCATTCAAACCATAACTGGCAGTAAATCCGTTATCAAAGCATATGATTAACAGGTGCTGAAGATATGCCTTCAATACAATCACTTGACTATACTTCACCTCTACATATATCCTACACTTAATTGCATACAAAATTAGCTGTAGTCTGAAGGATCACAAGTGAGTCTTATGCACAATACATAACAAAATGGTCTCTAAATTGGTTTTAAATGTCAATATATTTAATCACAATTTGTGCCATAAGTCTATCACTAAATGTAGTAATGGTATCATTAGCTCTCCTTATAAGTGAATAAAGTTTGTCATAATATGTTTAAAAGTGTTTATTTGTGTCTTAATTGTAATGCAATTAATTGTAATTTAGATTCACTTTGAATGGTATGACTAGAAGTGATGGTAAAGTCCATAGGATAGCGTGGGATCCAAATCACGAACACATTTTTGTCGCATATTTGTGACACTCATTGCCTCCAAAACACTCAAATGTGATTCGCTGTGAGCTGTGCGCCAATGAGGGCGCATGAGTCCACGTCGAGTACGTGTGGCTGTGGTATATAAGGCTCGTGAAATCGCAGCACTCTATCAATCGTTTTGTGTTTTGTCGTCAATTTGATCGCACATTCAATCCATACGAAGACATGTCTGGACGAGGAAAAGGAGGCAAAGGTCTGGGAAAAGGAGGCGCCAAACGTCACCGAAAGGTTCTGCGCGATAACATCCAGGGTATCACCAAACCGGCCATCAGACGTCTGGCCCGCAGAGGAGGTGTGAAACGTATCTCCGGTCTGATCTACGAGGAGACCAGAGGTGTGCTGAAGGTATTCCTCGAGAACGTGATCCGAGACGCCGTCACTTACACCGAGCACGCCAAGAGGAAGACTGTCACCGCCATGGATGTGGTCTACGCTCTCAAACGCCAGGGACGCACTCTCTACGGCTTCGGCGGTTAAACACCTCTCCATCGCACTCAACAAACGGCCCTTTTTAGGGCCAACCACTTGACTGACACCAAAAGGAGTTTTGTTTTATTAATTGTCTTATTATTATGTCTTCACATCTCTTATGTCTTATCCGAACAATGCTTTAATCACTCTTTTAAACGCCAATTGATTTGAAATAAAATGATTTTTTATTTAATAATATTTTGTCTATAAATTGCTTTTCATTTAAAATATGCTTTTTATATATAATAATAAAAATATAATTAAATTAAAATGATTTATGAATCGCTTAACAATTGCTATAACTTATAGATCACATCC